TGCGAAGGAGCTAGCGAAAGACCCAAGAGCGCTCAGTAATGTGAAACTTGAAAGGAAAACAGCATCCTACAAAATGACACATGGACTGGGAAAAACCTTGACAGATGAGACAATTCAGAACATGTGTAGTGGGTCATTTTCTCTTAATTAATGTTGATGAAAGCACCAGAAATGCTGACAAGAGGATATTGGCCATTCTGGTCAGTTATCTATCCATGTAACAGGGCGGTATTGTGGTTGAGCACTTGCAGTCAGTTGAGCTCTATAAAGTGGACACGATCAGTATGTTTTCTGCTATTGAGAAGATCTTCGATGACAACAATATACCTTGGGAAAACCTTGTTTCCTTGCTCTCAGATTCCTGTTCTGTGATGAGAGGTGCCAAGAATGGATTGGAAGTGAATATGAGAGGGGCTGCCAAGATGCAGAAAGAAGACTGGGCCAAAGCTGCAGCTGACAAGAAGAAACGTGTGGAGAAGCATTCACTGGCTGCATCTGCAGCTGTCTCAAGTGTCAAGGCCAGAGATTGCTTGAAATACAAGGAGATGGCAGCAAGAAAATCTCACCAACAGGAACTGAAGACGAAAGCTGTTCAAAGGTTGACACAGCTGGCTTCCAAAAGAAGGAAGTTGTTGAATTAAAACTGATAAACTGACTTGTAAATAGTGTGTAAATAGTGTACTCTGGTGTGTAAATAGTGACTGAAGACAGTGAGAAAACTGGAGAAAAAAAGTGAGTTAAAGTTATATTAAATTTGCCGATTAATGTTATTCCACAATTTCATTTTTCTTTCCTTTTTTGCATTAAATTGTACTTTCATTTCACTGCAAACCTCTCAGCTTCAGGGGGGCTGCGCCCCCCTGCCCCGCCCCCCTAAGCCAATCGTTACATTTCAGCTGAAAACCAAAATCTGTGTTGCCATCCCAGTTTATAGTTCTTTTTAAGATTCTATTATTTGTTGTCAAGTGGCAAATGTGTTTTTGAGACCAGATGGAAAGAGGAATAAAAAATATTTCCACCTTGTACACTGTACTGCTGTTGATGTAGCACCTCCGTAGTGGCGCAGTGTTGCAGCTGCGGTTAAAATACGCTGCCAAACATCCATCGCTCAATCAGTACAGCTGAAGCTCTACGCTCTGTTGAGTGATATCAATCGATCTGGCTGGGGGTGGCCGCCATGGAATTTTGAACGCAGGAAAAACACTGAACACCTTTTTACCCAGATATTGGAATAGCTTTGAGCACCAATCAACCTCAAGCAGAAGTACAAACAATCATGCACAAATTCCAAGTTCAAACATGAGAATTGACATGACCAAACGTTTTGTGTTTATCTTCGTGTGTCTTGTAGGCATCCGTGAAGATGTTGGTCCTGGACTGCAGGAGCTGCAGTCCCCCCACATTAAGGAGGAGGTGGAGGGTGAAGAGCGCTCCTGCATTCAAGAAAATGAAGAGCCAGACCCCTCTGTCATTAAAAAGGAAGACGAAGGTCACACTCACATCAAAGAGGAGGAGGAAGAGCACCTCCACTCCAAGGAGGATGAAGGAAAGCCTCCCTACATCAAAGAGGAGCAGGAGGGGTATATCTGCAAGTTGTCATCGACTGGTGTCCCTTTAAAAAGTGAAGACGAAGGCCAAAGTGAAGCGGGGAGAGGGGCGGGGCCCCCAGGCAGCAGCTCATATCAACACATGAAATCAGAAGGTGATGGCGACCACTGTGGAGGGTCACAAGTGGACGGCCTCTTAGGTATCTTAACACCACGCCACACAGCACCACTCAGGAGGATGGTGAAATTGGCTCCACCACAACTGGGCCCCTAATTATTGATGGTGATACAGTAAATATTCTCTAGTGCGGTCTCGTGTTTGCGCTGTCCAATTTGTCCTGACAACAGAAATTCCTCATTTGGGAAATGAGCATGGTACATGTCCTTTATGAACCTGCAAGTATGTTGACAAAATGCACGTGTAACAACACAAGCAATAAAATACAAAAATATACTGTCCAAAAACTGTTTATATAACAAAAACTGCAATACAGGTGTATCCAAAAAAAATCATAACAGTAAAATACGTACAGTATTTTAATGTTTATTTTTCTCTGTCTTGGGAAAAAAAAAAGTGTCTATTTTGGATTGTTTTGTTGGAAGCATTCTTTGGTTTATGACAATGTTTGCCTGCGTGTCATACAGTTTTCTTGCTAGTTGCAAGTAACTGTCCCGTTGATCACCAATGTCTGGTAATTCTTGTGCATACTGATGGATTTGTTGCCATTTGCATTGCTTCCTCGCTGGATAGTGGCTTGTCATCAGGAGTTGAATCGATGCCTTTTTTTTAAAGTTTCGTAGATTTGCGTCTTTCCGACTCCAAGTGTCTGCTGGATGCTTTTAACTTTGTGTCCAGCCTTGCTCAAACGGATGCATTTCACTCGCTCC